CCCCCCCCCAGCTCTGCAATGCTCCGCCAACAGCATCTATACAGCCTGCATGCCCCCCTGCTTACCTACGTGTGAGGACCCAAATAAAGAGTGTGACAACATGGAACTTCCCTCCTGCAAGGAGGGCTGCCTTTGTCGACCTGGTTTTGTGCTCAGTGAGAAGCAGTGTGTGCCTCGGAGCCAGTGTGGCTGCAAGGACGCCCGGCTCGGCTACGTGCAGGTGAGTGGGGGTGAAGTACAGCGGGAACATCACTCCTTGAGAATACAGAGCCTTCTCTTGCGGCACCTGACCCTCTAGGGCTCGCCCTGGCATGGCCTCTGGGGACACCCATGTGTGGTCTCATGACGAGGCTGAACTGGGGTGCAGTTTCCGGTTTTCCATCTGAGCAATATTAACTGGGATGTGCCATGCCGGGGAAGAGCCTGGCTAGTTAGGAATCTGAGTGTACCTGTCCCTGTCAGGGGCCCAACTGACCCAGGTTCTCTGTGAGATGGAGTCGGTAGCACAAGCCACGCTCATGTGCGACACAGGAATCTCACATGGGCAGCAGAGGACAGAGGTGCCGCTGGCGCCTACTGCCTCTGGCAGCGCCAGTGAAGCCGCTCAGATGCGGTTCAGGCCCAGTGGCGGTGGGGAGGGGCAGGACACAGGCGCTGCTGCTCCCTCATGCTGTGCTCTGTGGCTCTACAGGAAGGGAAGTTCTGGCTCAGCAGCCACTGCACTAGGAGGTGCGTCTGTGTCATGGGCGGCAGGGGCGGGCAGGAGAGGGCGCTGCCACTCCCTCATGCCCCTGTTCTGTGGCTCTACAGGAAGGGAAGTTCTGGCTCAGCAGCCACTGCACTAGGAGGTGCGTCTGTGTCATGGGCGCCATTCAGTGCCAACCCTTCACCTGCCCTACTGGTACTCAGTGCCAGGTCAACTCCAGTGCCCTGGAAAATTGCACACCGAAAAGTAAGGGGGTGTTCGGTGGTGGTCCCAGCCATGGCTCCAAGACCTGACGCAGGCTCTATCTGCATACCTAGCTCAAGAGCTTCTCAGTCAGCTCTTGCAGTTTCTGGCCACCTGACCCACCTTATCCCCGCTCAGCCCCTCTCTCTTTCCTCCTCGCCCCTCTCCCAGCTCTGCAGTGCCCCGCCCACAGCAGCTACATGTCCTGCTTGCCAACGTGTGTATCCACCTGCGAGGACCCAGATGCCCTGTGCAGGGGCATGAACGTTCCCTCCACCTGCCGTGACGGCTGTCTTTGTCAGTCTGGTTTCCTGCTCCACCAGGGACAGTGTGTGCACAAGGACCAGTGTGGCTGCAAGGACACTCACGGCCCCATCCCTGTGAGTGTGGACTGAATTAGGGTGAGGTCAGCACAGCTTGGTGTCCACCATCGAGGCACCAAGATCGCTAGGGTTTGGGACGTGGGGGATGGTCATCTGCCATAACTAATCTGGAGGACATCGCTGGGTTTTACATTTAAGGGCTCCGAACTGGGTTTTGCATGCTACAGTGGAGAGCATGGCTTTGGTTACTATTCCGATGCTACAGCTCACAGGGCAGGTGTCTTTTTTCACCTTGTTTCTCGCGTGGGAGGGCCCAGTGGGACCTCCTGAGGAATATAGATGAGCTACCAGTGCCTCCAAGTGGCAGCAGGGCACATGAGGTGGCGGGTGTCTCCTACGGTGTCTGGTCAGTGCCAGGGAAGCCAGTCCCTCAGACCCAAGGGGTGAAAGTGAGAACCAGGGCCCTGCCCCTCACCCTCTCTCCTTTCTGCGGCTTCCACAGGAAGGGAAGATCTGGCTCTCGAGCAACTGTACCCTGCGCTGTGCCTGTTTATCAGAAATCATTCGATGCCATGTCTTCGAGTGCCCCTCGGGCTTCCGCTGCCGGACCGACTCCAACAACAACGGCAACTGTGTCCCGTCGGTTGAGCGCGTACTCCGAAGGGTGAAGCACGATGCAGGGCCAGAGGGGCCGGATGCAGGTATGTGCGCACCTCCACCACCGCCGTCCTTGCTTCTCCTCTGTCTCTTATTTGCTGTGTCCAGCTGCAAGACATGCCTGTCCTGGGACTCACTGCCCTAAGGGCAAAGCAAGGGGACCTAGGAGCGCCCCTAAGCTTTTCAATAGGGGCTAGGAGGGGCAATGTTAAAGATGGTCAGACCCGGGAGCCCAGTGCTAAGAGGAGAGCAAAGGGGGGCATGGGAGGGTGGCTGGGGGAGCCTAACGCCTCTGATACCTGGAAGGGGTTCTTCCTTTTACTTGGCCTTTCTTCTCTGCAGAGTCAGCACAATGCTCTGTTTTTGGGGACCCCCATTACTTCACATTTGATGGCTTCAGCTACCGCTTCCAGGGCCGCATGACCTACACACTGGTAAAGACCGTGGATGTACTGCCAGAGGGGCTTGAGCCCCTGGTTGTGGAGGGCCGCAACAAGGTGAACCTGCCCTGGACTCCGGTATTACTACATGAAGTGACTGTGAAAATCTACGGCTACATCATCCAGTTGCAAGCCAAACTGCAGCTTGTGGTGAGAGCAAGCAGGCCTGGGTGGTTGGGAAGAGGCAGGCCAGGGGACCCTCACCTGCAGCAGGTGAAGCCAGGATGCTTCCCCTGGGAAGGTGTTCCCTGGGAAGCTCCTGGCAGGGACTGCCTGGTTAGAGAAGTCAGTGTCATCTGATCTCACACGGAGACAAAGAGCAGGGCAGCAACACTAAGCAAGAGGCTAGAGGGCCTCCCCAGTGGTGCAACAGGTTAAAGTGCAGCACTGTGAGGCCATCTGCAGCCACTGCAGCACGAGTTCAATCCCTGGCTGGGGGGTGACCCACATGGTGCAGCAGACCTCTCCCTTCCCGCCCGCTGCTCCCCTCAGCAGTGTATTTCAGTTCATCTGCCTGTTCTGCTCCCCGCTCTGTCTCTGGTGAATCCTCTCAACTCCCACCAGATCTCTGGCCTGCCTTGCACCCCAGTTCTTGTATGCATAAGTAAATAAGTACTAAAAACCAGAAAACAAGAGGCTAGAATGAGACAGGTTGGGAAGGAGAGGATTGAGGAATCTGCGCTGTGGAGCAGGAACCAGCCTGGGCTGAAGAAGTGCCTGGACATCCCCGTTGCTGATTTTTCCCTTTTTGCCAGAAAGGGGAGGGGGTCTGCAAAGGGCTCCTTAGAGATCTGCCAGGAGCGATAGTGCCACCTACTGTGGCATCTTGTTCCACAGAATGATGGAACGGTGCCAAGCAGAGGTACCGAGACGTACAAAGACGCCCCTGCACGGCGGCGGGGTAGGTCACCCCACTGCTCCTGAAGCTCTTTGTCCCTCTCCAGGTCAACAACCAGAGGGTGGGCATCCCCTACAAACCCAGCAAGCATCTTGGCGTCATCGTGCGGGGTCACCGCCTCTACCTGACCACCGACTTTGAGCTGGCTGTCAGCTTCGATGGAATGAACAATGCAGGTACTTGAGAGGAGGGAAGGGGGGGGCAGGATGTTTGCATCCTGAGAGGGAAAACACACCTTAGACAGGCCACTTGGTGAGGGAGCCACAAGGAGGTAGGGAAGAAAGTGTCACTTCTACATGCTCCTGCCTCTTGTAGTCATCTCCTTGCCCGGCACGTACGAGGGGCTGGTGCGCGGCCTGTGTGGGAACTTTGACAAGAATATGACAAACGAGTTTATAATGCCCAATGGCGCCCTCACCCAGAACATCAACATCTTTGGCAACAGTTGGGAAGTAAAGAAGAACCAGAAAGAACTTGCCCGCTTCTCCAGGTGAGGGAACTGGGGCTCTCAGCAGGGAGGCTCAGGCCCAGAAGATGAGCAATCGCTGTCCACACCCACTTACCCCAGAGCTTCAGCAGAGGCGTGCTGGAGGGCAGGCCCTGACGGCCCTCCCGGTGCTGCCAATCTCCCTGTCTTCTCATCGGGACCTGGACTGTAGGGGCAGGGGCCCTATGGACCCCAATCTGTGCCCGTGCCCTTCCTTCTGCTCCGTCCTCAACTTCATAGTGCCCAGGCCTCAGCTGGCCCCTCATTGTCCCTGCCCAGGGCCATAAGGGAAGAGGAGAAGGAGAAGGCAGAGGAGTCCGGGTACCTTGCGTCGGGATGCAGCGTGGAGCAGCTGGCACTCATCAACAGAACCCAGGGGTGTAGAGTGCTGGTGGATCCCCAAGGCCCCTTTGCTGCCTGTCACCAGAAGGTGCCCCCTGAGCCCTTCCAAGAGTGAGTCAGGGGCCCCGGACCATGACCGCTCTTCAGGTCCACTGCCTGCTCCCTGGTGTCTCTGTTCTCTGGTTCACTTCTTTCTGTAGCCTTGGTTCCTCGCAATCTCCCCACTCCCAATGACCGCCAGCACACACTCCACACACACACACACACACACACACACACACACACACCTCTTCTGCTGGGGTTTCCATGCCTCTTCCTCTCTGACAGTCCCCCAACTGGCTGGCTGACTCTGACTGTCCCTAATGCTCCCCTCATCCCACCAGGCACTGTATATTTGATCTGTGTTCCACCTGGGACCCCAGAGAACGGCAGGAGCTCAGCTGCCAGGTCCTCAGTGGATATGCCATCATCTGCCAGGAGGCTGGCATCACCCTGGCCAGCTGGCGGGACCATATGCATTGCGGTGAGGCACTGACATTCCCTAGCAACTGGCCCTGGCCCCTGGCCCCTACTGCCACTTTGCTCAGCTCCAGGCCCCACCATAGCTTCCACCTGCCTTAGTTTCTTCACCCCTCAACTCACCCTGTTAACTTCCTGACTTTACCCCCTGGGAAGCCTCGTCCACCCCTGCTCCTTTGACCCAGTGTTACTTTGGGCCTCCAGCTCCCTTCACGTGCCTTAATGGCCCATCGGCAGCCCCCCTCTGGCTTCATACCCTGAGCTCTGTGGTGACCTTGATTCCTTCCAGCTTCCAGCCCCACAGTCCCCACACGTTGGGCAACCCCAGCCTAGCCCCTCTCTGACTAGGACTCTGTCCCCTCAGCCTTGGCATGTCCAGCCAACACTGTCTATCAGAGCTGTATGACACCCTGCCCAGCCTCCTGTGCTAACCTGGTGGCCCCCGGGGGCTGCCAGGGCCCCTGCGTGGAAGGGTGTGCCAGTCTCCCCGGCTACATCTACAGCGGCGTTCAGAGCCTCCCCCGGGCCCGCTGTGGCTGCACCAACAACGGCATTTACTACCAGGTCTGGGCTGGGAGTGGGAGGCCCTGGGCGAGCGGAGGTGCAGAGAGCCAGGCCAGAGACCATCAAGAGAGCCCTTCCTCCCAGCCCCTTCTCCCTTCTTCAGCAAGGTGACAGCTTTGTGACTGAGGATTGCTCTCAGCGCTGCACCTGTGTCAGCTCGGAGGTCCTGCTGTGCGAGCCCCTCAGCTGCAACGTCGGGGAGATTTGTACCCTAGGGAACCTCACTCGTGGCTGCTTCCGAGGTGAGCCTGAACCACCTCTCGGTTCCAAGCTGCCCTCTACCCCAAGGGGTTCTGGATTAGATACCATCCCCGCCTCCCCCCCCCCCCGGGTAGTGTGCCTGGGACTCCTCCCCATGAGGGTCAGGAAGGTGGTATCTATCTTTCATCCCGTTTTCTCCCTTTTTGGGAAAGGCAAAGGCAGAAGATGTTTGCTGTCCATCAAGCACCTTGCTGGGTCTTTTCCCTACATTTGCTTCCCATGATCTTCTTTAGCCTATAACTCAGGGCTTGGTGATAAGCATTCCTGTGTCATAGCTAAAAGCAAGGAAGCAATTTCCCCAGAGCGTGGTTAATGTAGAACCAGGACCGGAGGCCAGGATGGGCTCCCTCATTTAGCTGTTGTATTCTTCCTTGGGATCCCAGGCCTAGCCCCCTTTCCCTTATTTGGGGTGTCTTCCCAGAACCCCCTCCCAACCTGCTCCTCCATCATTCCAGAAAGCCCATGTCTAGAGAACCCGTGTCAGAATGATGGGCAGTGTCGGGAGCAGGGAGATCACTTTATCTGTGAGTGTGAACTTGGTTATGGGGGAGACCTTTGCATGGAGCCTCGGGACCTGCCACCCACTGCAAAATATACAACAGGTAGTTTATGATCATGTACTAATATCTATTATATGGCATGATATTGTCATGTGATCCTGGACAATTGTAGGAGCAGGTCCTCAAAGGATCTCAGCACCCCTATGCCCTTCTTACCCCTCTGCGCTGGCATCTGCCAGCTCCCTTCTTGACCCAGATGCCCCACCCTGATGTTCGATCTCCCATCCTGTTTCTCTCCAAGTATCTATGGAAACTCTATGCCCTTCCAGTCTCTGGACAAATTTGATTCTCCAAATGTCTTTTGTCCGATTTGGGAGTCTGGGTTCCCCGAATCTGCATGTTTAACAAGCTCCTACGAGTGATTCTAGGACTCTTCTGCAAGAAACACTGGCTAGTCTCTAGGGGACCAGCTAGATGAACATCTCTCTAGAAAGCTTATGAGAATTTGTGGGCACAAAGGGTCCCTGGTAGGGGTGGGGGGTGGTGCTAAGGCCTTGGAAGGGGGGGTGGCTCCGACTAGCCTCAGCAGCAGCTTAATCCCTTCTGGTGATGACCCCCGACCAAAAGAGAGTATCTCCTCCCCCACCCCTTCTTGTCCCTATTTCGATTCCCCACACCCCAGAAAGGTCCAGCTTGGTAACTGTCCTGCTGGGGATGCTGGTGCCAGCAGTAGTCATGGTGTTGGCAGTGGTCAGAGAATGCGACAAGAGGCTGAGGAGGTGGGTTTTGGGGAGGAGGCTGAGGGAGGGATGGGTGGGGGAGTAAATACAGGGAGTGGGTGTCGACTCTTGTATGTTCCCCAGGGTCCCTAGGGAGAAGATGAAGAGCAAGAATAGAAACAGGCTGGTAGACTCAGGTGAGAGTTGACCCTGCCAGCCCAGCCTAGGTGACGAGCGGGCTGGGGCAGGTGGGGGGAGCCAGTCAGTCTCTAACAGACTTTTCTGCTTTCTCTCCAGATTTTGTGCCAGAGAGTGACGTCACTCGGTTTTAATTTGTCTTAAAAAAAAAAAAAAGATGAAATAAAATTATTTATTTTTGAGACATGAATTTCCAAGATTATGGTGGGGGAAGTGTCTGTGCGGTGGATCTTGGGGAGAGAGATACAGGGCGCTGTGTTTGCGTGGAAAGCAACGGGCAGCTAAGCTGTGTGCGCAGCAAGGTGTCCGAGGATAGGGAACTATCTCGTGTGGGGACCTGCCCCTAAAGCTGGGTGGGTGGGCATTTAGCGTTGAGATTCTGGGGTACAGGAGACAAGTTTCCACTCCAGAAACCCCAGTTCTTAGAGGACTTGGCTGTGAGTTCCCTAAGTAGATGGTGAACAGTGATTGAGGATTCTGATGAGAATTGCTGGGTAGAGGCCAAGGATGAGGAATGTGGCTCTTTCCGAAGGATTAATTGGCTGTGCCCCTCTGGGATGTGTCCCCCCAGTCTTCTGCAAGCATCCATTTCCCACAGGAGCCTAAGGTTCCTTAACTGAGGTGGGGTCTGGAAGATAGCTGGCTCAGTTTAGCATTCCACCATAGAAGTGACCTGAGACCCTCAGCCTGAGGTCAAAGGACAAACATGCTGACCCGCCTGTCCCCCAGTGAGATGGGTCTCCCACCAGGCTGGTCCAAGCTTGGGATGGTGTTGGGGAGCATGAGGATGCTGGACCCCAAGGACAGAGGACTTGGGCTGGGAATATCAAAGCAGGCAGGACACTGGTTTCTAGAAAGGTATCCGTGCTCCAGGCCGCCTCCTTCATTTAAGGTCATGAGATCCAATGGGGCAAGCCTCACATGACTTTCCTTAGCAGGGTGCACAGCTCACACTCAAGTTGTATGAGGCAGGAAAGCTCAGGAGTTTCCGGAACTCAGCAGAGCCCCAAAGCTAGCACCTACCCCTGGTGTTTGAGCCTCTGGCTGTGTCCATGTGTTCTGCCCTTTTGAACCGAGCCCCTCCTCTCCAGCTAAGGTCGGGTACCGGGGACTCCAGAAGAGGGCAGTAAAGGCGTTCGGGGACAGGGATGAGATCAAGGTTCAGAAGTGCCGAAGAGGCAAGAGTCTTGGAAGGGGCTCCTGCATTGGCCCCAACTTGACAACAGGGGGCAACCAAGCTGCACAAACAAAGCTGGCCCAGCCCAGCCCCGGTGGATGCCCCAGAGGGCTGGTGGAGCACGGAAAACTGAAGATGGCAAAAAGAGCCAGTGGGGCCTCTCTGGTGGCGCAAGGGACTATGTCACAACACTGTGAAGCTACCAGCAGCCACGGCAGCAGGAGGTCGTGCTCCCTGCTTAGCAGCCCAGAGCTGACCCACATGGCGCAGACCTCTCCAAGTGCTCCCCTCAGCAGTGTATTCCAGTGCATTGCCTGTTCTGCTCCCCACCTGTCTCTGGTGAATCCTCTCCAGCACCTCTGGCCTGCACCCCAGCTCTTGCATGCATGCATAAATAAATCTTAAGGAAAAAAAATAGACACCCTGGCAGTTTGAGCAGGAGACTGACCCTATCCTCTTCCTGTCTGGGAGAACTCGGGGTGGGGAAAAGGCACAGGTGGTTTCCCCCCACCCTTTTCCAGAGGCTGAGAGAACCTGCCTGGGCAGCATCTTGAAAGAGGAATTGTCCTCCCAACCCAGCCCAGCAGCTCTTTGTGTGTGTCTGTCTGCACACGTGGGGGGGGGGGCTGTCCTTCACTCCATCTCTGTCCCTCCCCCACAGCCAAGGCAGACTCCCCCATCGCCTCTAAACCAGTCCCAGCTGTCAACATCTGGTCCACATCTGTCTTCTTCTGGACTGGACCCCCAGCCCAGCTGATCCGCCTCCCTCTTTCAGGGGACTATAAGGCAGTGTTGTGAGCTCAAAGCTTCCCCTTGCTTCACAGAGCCCCTCTCCAGGGCTAGGGAGCCAGGGCAGGGAGGGGGGCAGCCTTCCCGGAGGTGCCTCAGGCTCTTGGCAGAGCCAACTAGAGCTGTTAGAAGCAGCTGCCAATGACTCATCTCCACTGCCCCCACCCCACCACCTCAAAGGCACCCTGGGGCTGGGAACTGAGCACCCTCGTGTGCACACACAGCCCTGTGGCCAGACCTCTGATCCCCCAGTCAGTTGGGCTTGCTGAAAGCTCCTCCTTCCCCCACTCCAATCACCCCCACACTGGGACACTTCCCATTTTCTTTTATTTATACAAAAACAAAAGTTTTAAATATAATTTAAGAGCCCCTCCAAGCACCTGTGTCTGTCTCTGGCTTCTACCACCCCCTCCCCCTCATATTCCCTCAGGGGCACAGCTTGGGGGAACCTGGGGAGAAGGGGGTGTCTGGGGGTTCTGGCATGATCAAGGCACTGTTCAGGAAACAGGCCCAGCGACGGGTCCTGTCTCAATGCTGGCAAAGGAGGCAACAAGGAAACAGATCCCTTCCACACACAAAGTCACGACAAGGTTGAAAAAAAAAATGAAAAAAAAAAAAAAAAAGGGAAGGAACAATAAAACCAAAACCAAAAAAATAAAACTCAAAAACCTTCAATATGAAGGCAGCAGAAGGGGGAAGGGCATTTACAAGGGAAGTGAGTTCGGTGGAGACAGCAGCAGGTTGGGACACCCAAGTCCAATGGCTTTGTCACTGGGCCCTGACACCCTTCCTGCCTCCCTTGGCTGCGCCACACTCCCGAGCTCGCAGGCTAGTCACCCTCCTCTCTTTGGTCTGCAGGATCTGCAGGGCCTGTGGCCCCCCCAGGGTGAGGGAGAACCCTTGGGCCCAGCCCAAATTGGAGATCAGAAGGAGGCTGTGGGCACCGCCCAACCCTCTGTGAGGAAGTCGGCAGGGTATGGGCGTATCCTTTTCTCTCATCACACCCCATCCTGGGTGTGGGGTTGGTTCTCTGCCTGGGGATAATGTCGTTTCTCCATCTCCCTTATGGCAGAATCCCCAACTCCTCTCTCTCCAAATTGCCAACTCCCCATGCCCACAGGTTCAAAGTGCAATCCAGAAGGGCACAGGGGTAGGGGCCTTTAGGTCCCCACCCAACTGCCCCAGGAAGCCAGGGAGCTGTGTCCCCGGCATGAGAGATCTTGTCGCTCCAGCGCTGGGGGGCCAGGTCAGGAGTCGCAGGTCAGTACTGGGGGGCTGGTCCTCCAGACCCGCCTTGGCCTCCAGGCTTGGCCTGGGACTTCATGTGCTGGACACTGGCCAGGATTTTCTTCTGGTGTCCTGCCAGAGTGACTCCAATTCGGAGCAGGTCCCTGGGGAAGAATTGTGAGCTAGGTTGAGGCCAGAGGGCTTCAGCAGGGGCTTCTCCTAGCTTAGCGCCAGAAACCTGGCCAGCCCCTATCAGAAAGGCCAGCAGGGGAAGGGGCAAAGGTGAATAGTTGCTAGGCAGAGGATTTAGGAGCCTAGCCCAAAGTGTGGTTGCAGTCGGGGTGACACTGGATGTCACAGGCAGAAATGAAGGCCACACAGATTGCTTTAGAGGAGAAAGAAGTCAGAAGAAAAAGCCCAGAAAGAGAAGAGCAGAGTGAAGGTTAAAACTGTCCCCACCAGCCCTCCCTGGTGGCGCAGCGGGTTAAAGCACAGCACTGAGAATCTAAAGCCACTTCCGCATGTGTTCGATCCTGCCTGTCCCGGAGGTGACCACATGGCGTGGCAGACCTCTCCTGACCTGCCTGCTGCTCCCCTCAGCAGTGTACTTCGTGGATCTGCCTGCTCTGCTCCCCACTCTGTCTCTGGTGAAGCCTCTCACCGCCCCTGAGCCTCTGGCCTGTACCCCAGGTTCTGTATGCACAAATAAATAAATCTTTAAAAAAATTTAAAAAAAAACTGCCCCCACCATTCATTCCCACACACCAACGCCTGAAAACTGTGATAAAGGAAAAAAGAACTGGGGGACGGGGAATAGGAACCCATGTCGAGGTCCAGCTGGGCTGGTCAGGGAGGACAGGACCCAGGCCTGCTGGGCAGACTGGTCTGGAACCTGCCCTGCCAGGGCCCTCTGCTTCCAGATTCCTACTCTTCCTATTTCTGTTACTCAGACTTGGGGCCAGAAGCCTTGGGAGAGAAATGGACAGAGAGGAGACCAGAGACGGGCCAATTAGGGAAAAACAGAATTTGGGAGGCGCTGGAATCATAAAACCATTTAGCGTTAAAGCTGGAAAGGATCTCCAAAACCTAGCCCAACCTTCTCCTTTTATGGATGGGAAAACATCCAGAGTTGACACGGTGTTACTGTGAGAGAGAGCAGGGTTTGGAATGTAGATAGATGCACAAAGATAGAGAGAGACTTCCCGGCGGAGAGGGAGATGGCAGGCTGAGGTGGCACAAGAAGGGGGCACTGCTGGGAGACCAGCCCTGGGCACTCAGCCTCAGCAGCAGTTTTTGCTTTGGGGGCTCTTCCAGGCCTGGTGGGGAGACACTTCCTTAGTGTTGCTCCGCTGAAGAAACAAGAGTTGGCACCAGGACTTGCCCCCAAAGCCCCCGTCTGAATCTGTGGGCCTGACCCTGCCCCCAAGGAGCCCCTCTGGCTATCCAGTCTCACTCCCACTTCCAGCTCCTGCCACTTACTCTGCGGAGATCTGGCTGACAAGCTCAAAGGAGCCAAACCCAGCAGCTGCAAAGCTTTCTTCATATCTTCCCATCTTGATAGCACGAAGCCACTCACCGACAGAACCAAAAGCTGAGTAGTGAGGCTGCCGCTGATCCAGCAGTGGGTGTGAGGCCCTGGGAGGCAAGGATGGGGAGGATTCCCTGAGTACCGGGCCTGTGTCCCGTGGGGAAGACGTTGAGCTGGCCTTAGAGAGGTGCGCAAGCACCACCCCACACACCAGCAGAGGGACTGACAGTTCTGGGGATAGGGTAAAGGCAGCTGTCGCAAAGTGCGAGCTCTCCGGGATCCTCACCCGCCATTCTCCCTGGCCACGATCTTGAGGCTAGCAGGGTTCCGGATCATCTTGTCCAGGGCGCTGACCACCTGGGGGAAGCGGGGCCGTGCATTCCGGTCCTTCTGCCAGCAGTCCAGCATGAGCTGGTGCAGGGAGGTTGGGCAGTCTGGGGGAGGGGGCAGCCGGTAGTCTTGTTCAATCGCATTGATCACCTGTGAGCACAGGGAGCAGCGCTGAGTGAGGATGTCGTAGGAGAGTGAGGATGCCAAAGGACCCCAGGAGGCTGAGATGCTGGGATGGTCACATAGTCCCTTCCCGCTGGCATATCTAGGGGGTCCTCCTGGCCAGGGCCACGGCTGGTGGTGGCCTGATGCCCGGGCAGCTCAAGGACTGTGATTTAGCCCTGTAACCTCCCAAACTTGTCCTCCATCTCTCTGTCCTTCTGTGGCAGACATGTATTGAAATCTTGGCCACAAAGACCAGCTCTCCTTGTGCCACCCTTACCATCCCAAGAACTGCAGTAATGAGCTCTCTAGAACATCATGCCCCCATCTCCACATCACAGGTGAGAGAACATTCCAAGCTTGGTAGGTCCACGGGACACTTACATCCTGATTGCTCATATCCCAGTATGGCCGTTCCCCAAATGACATGACCTCCCACATCACTATCCCGTAGCTCCAGGCATCACTGGCAGATGTGAACTTCCGGAAGGCAATAGCCTCAGGGGCTGTCCATCGGATGGGAATCTTTCCTCCCTATAGATGGGAGAAGAAAAGGTGAGATGAGGGACTCACCAGGCCGGCACTGCCTGGCTTTGCCTTTTCCAGGCCTGCCCTCCTTCTTGGAACCATGCACCCAGCAACCCAACACTGCTTTCTTCCTAGACACCCAAAAGTCAGGTTCCCTAGGCTGACCACCCCCTCTGTGGCCTGTTCCTATACTGTGTTTCTGGCCTCCCGATGCCTCAAGAGGCGTCCATGTCTCAGCTCACCAGAGAGCTAGTATAGGTGGGGTCAGAAGAGTTCTCCTCCAGGAATCGGGAAAGGCCAAAGTCAGAAACTTTGCAGACCAGGTTGCTGTTGACCAAGATGTTGCGGGCGGCCAGGTCTCGATGGACGTAACTCATCTCAGCCAGGTACCGCATGCCTGAGGCGATGCCCCGTAGCATGCCCACCAGCTGGATGACTGTGAACTGTCCATCATTCAGCTGGAAACCAGACGAGGCGTGGTTAGGAAGCTCACCATTATTCCTCCCTCCTTCCATGCTCTAAACCACACATGCCACTTCCATCCTATCCCATGCTCACTTGAAGGGCGAGCCGTCAAATTTCCAGGTAAGCCCTGCTCTTTTCTCCCACTCTCAGTTTGCTCAGTTCTTATGATAGTATCATGACACAATGCTCAGCTGTTCCTGTTTTGGACATGTGCATCAAGTCTCTCTTAATTAGACTGTAAGGAGATACTTAAACCTTTTCTTCTATTTCACCTAAGTACATTAGTGCAGAGTTTGGGTCCAGGGAAGACACAACAAATGCTTTCTAGCTAACGAGCAATTTTTACTTGACAGCAACAAGGATCTGATTCTTAGGATTCTCTGCTGAGCTATCTGGCTACAGGTGGGAGACGCATTTGGGCTGATCCAGCCACAATCTCACTCAGCCCTTGAGCCAACTTCGTGGCGTATCCAAGAGAACTATCAGAAATCAGGGTGTGATCAGAGAGTGCCAAGACCAACATCTAAAACTCAACCTTGACCTCTACAGAGTTTGCTCTCGCCTGGCAAGCCAGCAGTCATGGATGGTTAACTAATCCCATTTTCTGGATTCTGCTAGGACACAGGGACCTCTTAGACACAGAATCCAAACACTGAATTCTGAGCGTCTCCTGCAGACCTCTTATCTCAGTTCCTGGAAACATGACGCCAGAGTTTCAGTATCTATAGCCCTTGGATGGTCTGTGACTCTTCTCTTCCCTCATCCACCA